CTCCGGAAAGTTCGTCTTCGAGCTCATTTTAAAAGTGGCAAGATCACCAAATCCGCTAAAAACTTGTATATAGGGGTAATTCAACATCCTGATTACGAGTATGACACTCATTCTTGGCGCTGGCGCCAAGAGAGGACACTACGATTACCTCCTGGGCTCAGCCTTAGCAGAGCGCAGGTAACCGTAGTGTCATCCATTAGCGCCAGCGCCAAAAATGAATGTCATATTCGTGATCAGGATGTTGAATTACCCCTATATACAAGTTTTTAGCGGATTTGGTGATCTTGCCACTTTTAAAATGAGCTCGAAGACGAAATTTCTGGAGTCCAAACGGCATTAGCAGGAAGAGGAGACCTGCGAATTCTTGTGAAACAGGAGAAGCTAGTCGAAGCACCATGGTAAAACCTGTCTACTCTTGTAAGCTCATGAAACAGCTCTACAGATGGCTCGACACGTCGATGGGAAGTAGCAAAAAGTGCAAAATGGACCCCCCCCCCACCGTCCCCGAACTGCACCTCCACTGCCGCCAGAGACAGCGATGATTCCATATTCAATCTGAAATGGTGGCAGGGAAGCCATGCTGTGGAAAGACGATGAAGTGTCAAAGTGAAGTGGTCAAAAACCTGCGGAAAAAACCCTTCGTTCTGTACAACATTGAGTGTACGACTGACAGGAAGCGATTTTGGACGAGTTTAACGTTGGCATCGTGCCAGCTACCGTCCCTATAGATACGGCTGCATGTACATACGCATTTCATTATAACAATGTAGAGAGACAGGCGTCGACGTTAAATTTGGCATCTGCTGCAACTGCGGAAAAAAATAGTTCTACCTGAAAATTTTTAATTGCACATGAAAACTTTCTTTGCTCGAGTACGTCTGAAAAGCTATACTGAAAAACAGATTTGATTAATTTAATTCGCTGTCGGGACAGAATTTTGAAGACTACTACGATGGGGCACGCCCCTGCCACTTCGATATTGGATCTATTACGGAGTTTTGAATGCTTTGGGCAGAGCCTAGGGTCCTTGAGAGTTGTAAAAGATCAGAGGAGGAAGGAAGTGAACACCTAGACAGGTCGCCTGTCTGTTTTCTCCCACTCACTTTGAACACATTTTATAGTGTAGTTCGCTGCGGACGGTTGGGCGTGTCAGGCGGGATGAGTTTGGCGCGGTGCCAAACCCGTTCTCCACCAGTTGTTAAAGCGAGCAAATGATATGACTGTATCATATCGTTCGTATTACTCGTTTTCTACCACTTTTGTCGCATGCGCGCTTCAACAAGAAGGCAGAGAACGGCTTGACGGGTGACACACTCATACTGCCTGACACGCCCAACCGTCCGCAGCGAACTAGACTGTACACTATGTACTGCATCTGTACCACTTTTTCACTTGTGTCGTCTACTACACACATAGACTTTCGAATACACTTCTACTATGTAGTACACTTGACCTCGCCCCCGACGACTTCGCCCACTTATTAGTGGATTTATCGAAAATTCCGATAGTTTACAGCTTTATTCTCCAACATCCAATTTTAGTGATTGTTTCACACAGATAATCTACACATAGGAGACAATTTTCATAGTATCCACGCCTCCACGGTCACGCCCCTTTTTGAGCATTTCAATCTTTTTTTTGACGAGTTTAATTGTTTGGAAATTCGAAAAAAAACTAGTGTTCCTTTCACTTGCCAGAAAGAAAAACTCAAAGACAAATGCTCCAAACAATGTTAGAAAGACAGTGTTCCTTCTTCGGATGGGCCAAGTGGGACTAAGTGACAGGAAGTGAGAAGTGTAAGGCATGACAGCTAACCGCGTCGCCGCGTACTCCGAAGAACAGCCCATCACTCTGAAGATTGGCGAAACGGAAGCGATACTGCATCAAAAATCTTGGAGATGAAAGCTTTTGACCCTATGAATCTCTTTTCAGTATGCTTCAGGCATTTCACTATCATTTGGAGTCGCAGTGGCTTTCGAACGTGAATTGCTCATTGCATTGCGGAGAGGAAGCGGATGGGGTATGAGGACTGCCATTCTATTCTTTTAATTTTCTTGCTTGGACGAAGATAGTAATGAATTAGGGCTCTCCCTGCCAGAAAGTGAAAGCCCGTGACTACGGGCAGGAACGCGATCCGGTCATGAAATCCAGGCCACGTGGTGGAAGGCGTCGCTTCGCCTACTACGACCACCTCCATTATGAACGAAAAATTCCGAGTTGTGGTCATAACATTATATTCCTTGATTGCTACGATAAATCCTCAGAAGCGAGTAGGATTAATACGCCTGGCAGGACGGAATTCAACGTCCCTGAGAAGGCAGCTGCGGCAGCGCCTTACCAAGGAAGGTACCCGCTTATATGGGCCCTATCAAGGGCTACAGCATACGACTCGAACGCCCACCCACGCACTGCCTTACAAACTGGACACGACCGTTCCTGGCGCTCGTGCTGTTTCATTTGCTAAACAAATTCTGAAGCGTAGTGATGGGTATGAAGCGGCAGCGGTGCTCCATGGATATATGAAGTATAGACAGCAGGCCGTATACTTCCGATGGCGATTATTGGCAAGCAATGCCTACGGGAAACTCGTCCGAAATTCGATTTTTTAAGTCATTGAGAACGAAGGCTTTTTCTTCGCTGGATTTTGACCGTTTCACTGAGTCCCTTCGCCATTTTCCCCACTATATAGCGCCCCGCTATAATTTTAGGCCTAGTACCAAATTATCGTGCCAACTGCCTTTAAATAAAGCAGGAAGAGCTTAACACTTCCAGATTTTCGCTCCCATGTGGCGACTGCATCACAAATCTCTAATACCGTTCTAAGCCAACCTTAGACTGATGTAGAAGTATCTGCTTGAATACGAAACTAAAATCGTCCAGTGCACGTATTCTGACGTTATTGAACGTCGACAAGGATAAGCCATGGAGAAGCTCTTTTGTTGGGCAAACTGCAAGAAGCCTTGCAACAAAGTATCGACATTATATTCCTTTGCAGTGTTTCTCTGAAATATACGCCAAATTCTCGTCGAATGCGACTCTTCATTGAATGGCTAATTACGCTAATCTGCAAATATAGGAAGCTATTTCAGTCACGATCTTGAAGATGGGTAATAATAACGTCGAGGAAACCCGAGGAATGCCAAGATAGTGACTTCTCAAGGAGCTCTCCAGTGAAACTTATAGGTGGGCGCACTCCTTGAACACTCACCTAGGAAGGTAAATACCTGACCTTGTTTCTCACGATCCATGCTATGCCTGGGACCCTAGTGCGTTGAGTGCAGTCTGCTCAAAGGCATATGGCACGATAATTAGGTTTTCGGTTTAGAATGGTAGCAGGAGTGCTACATAGTGGGGGAAATGACGAAAAAGCGCCTTGTTATGACTTCGAGAGCAATTTTGGACGAGTTTATGATTGGCATCGTGCCAGTGACCGCTGTGGTAGATGCGGTTGCATGTATGTATTCGACCATGTAGCACCGCAGCTGCTTCACATCAATCCCTTCGCTTCATACTGTATTTCAGTAAAGGAAACGATACGAGCATCAGGTATGTACGGTCGTCCATTTGTGTGGGGGAGGGGGTACGGTGGGCGTCCGGTCGGTATGTTGCAGCTTGATAGGGCCTTATAAGGGTACCTTCCTTGGAAAAAGCGCTACGCAGCGTCCACTCAGGAGCACGGAATTCCGTTCTGCAGGCGTATTAATTGCTTGGCGATTTATGGTTGCCACCTGCCTTTAACTGTCACGATCAGTTAGTTCAACGTTCCCCATCGACCTTGCAAGGGAGGCTACATTAGATTTCTTGCAAACGTAAGCGCCTTTTGAAACGGTACAAGAACTGGTGAAAAATGACTATTACGGACGATGGATAGAAACTTTCGTTTGCCGAAAGAAGAACGGCGCTGCACTCAACGCAGCCATGAGGACACACCCCGTCATGCGCTGCGAACTGGACTACAATGAGCTTCTTCTCAGCTTGTCGACGTTTTTTTCTGTGACAATGTTGGCTAAGTTTGACGAGTTCGAAGCTTTATAAGCTATCTTCCAAACAACAAAGAACTTCACAGATCTGGTCCCAGTGCTTCTCTGCCTCTCTACATCCCTGCATTTTTGAAGGACCCAGTCCCGAAGCTTCAACGTCAGTCCCTTGTGCAGGCTGCTCATGGGTTCGGAGCAGGACAGATCCTATTGATAAGCATAAGCAAACATTGCAATGATCATTCCTATCTGAGCCTGTGAACGCTAGGGTATTGAGGCGAAGGTCTCGCTGAAGCGTTTTATGAGCTGTTCCAGATTCCAAGTGTGGAGAATGTTCAATTAGAGGCATAAGAAGGTGTCATTAGCCTGCTGGGTGCAATAGCTTTTTTGGAACGTGCAACTGCGAGCTAAAGAGTCTTTGATGGCCCTCTGTAGGCAGCTGGCTTGCTTCTCTGATGAAAACAGGTGACCATCCGGTCTTCTTTCCTCGATTGGTGAATGGAGTTCATCAACGATGATAAGCACACTATAAGCGATAGAAGTGAAAGTAAACACAGTGAGAAAATACCCTTTATAAGCTGCTTCTAGCGGTTGGAGTCTCATTCTTCAGCTCGTCAAGCATTCAACGTAAATTTCGCAAGCGACATTTGACACAAGGTCACGTGATGTTTCCTGCAACCGATCTGGAATCTCTGCTCGGTCTGTGTCTTGTTCCCAACTCAAAGCAATCTTTCAGGTCCAAAGATGTTTCTGAGCAGCGCTCTAATGTGCTTAATCGCTTGCACCGTTTCTGTATACGGGATCGATGTCAAGGTATGGAACTGTCAAGGACTGCAGAGATCGTGCGGTATAGTGTGTGACATCAGAGCTGTGTTTTAAAGCAGCCCTTGGATGCGGGGTGCTCTACACCTGTCCGGACAAAAACAGCTATCAAGCTCACAGCCATCAGACCC